AAAAGACCAATATGGTTAGCCCCTCCATATCCCTGGGTTCCATATCCATGGATTCAACCAACTGCCATTCAAAAAATTCAGAAAAAAGAAAATGTTATCTATAGAGACCATGTACAAATTTCTTTCTCTTGTCATTATTTCCTATATAACTACTTATGTAGCATTTACACTGTATTAGGTATTGTAAGTAATCTGGAGATGATTTAAAGTATATAGGAGGATGTACACAGGATACATGCAAATACTACATAATTTTATATAAAGGACTTGAGCATCCTTGGGTTTTGGTATCCACAGGGAGTCTTAGAACCAATCCCCTATCCCCACAGATACTGACGGATGATTGTACTGTATGACTCCACTTATCTGAAGAACTTAGAGTAATGAAAATCACCAGGATACAAGGGAGAATAGTGACTGTCAGGGCTTGAGGAAGGGGGCAATGGGGACTTACAGTTTAACAGGCTTTGTTTGAGTTTTATACGATGAAAAAAGCTCCAGAGAGGTGGCACCCATAGCTCAGAGGGTAGGGCATCAGCCACATACACGGAGGCTGGCAGGTCTGAACCCAGCCTGGGCCAGCTATAATCAACAATGACAACTGCAAACAAAAAATAGCCAGGCATTGTGGTGGGCACCTGTAGTCCCAGCTACCTGGTAGGCCGAGGCAAGAGAATCACTTAAGCCCAAGAGTTTGAGTTTGAGGTTGCTGTGAGCTATGACATCATAGCACTCTACTGAGGGTGACATAGTCCAAAAAAAAGAAAAAAATCCGTCCAAAAAAAAGAAAAGAAATGAAAAAAGCTCCAGAGACACAAGGTAGTGATGGTTTCAAGACATTATGAACCACTGATCTATACACTTAAAAATGGTGAAGATGGGTAGTGCCTATGGCTCAAAAAAATAGGGTGATGGCCCCATATGCTGGAGGTGGTAGGTTCAAAACCAGCCCCAGCCAAAAACTGCAAAAAATAAAATGGTTAAGATAGAAAATTTTATGTTGTGTGTTTTTTTTTTTTTTGGCAGTTTTTGGCCGGGGCTGGGTTTGAACATGCCACCTGTGGCATATGGGGCCAGCAACCTACTCCTTTGAGCCACAGGTGCTGCCCTGTTATGTGTATTTTACAACAATAATAAAAAGAATATTATCCAGGAAAAAATGCTGAGTGAAGAAGGTACAGTACATAAGGACTTATATAATGTACTCCAATCAGAGTGGTTTTTGGTAAGACTACATACATACATACACAAAGTACATAAAAATGCATGTATGTGGGTATACATAAGTATATACATACATATATTTATGTAATACTTATTTAATCCTCATTTTGCAAATGAGGAAAGCAAACTTCAAAGAGAGAAAGAAACAGGTTCAACTTGGGTCATACAGAGGGTAAAATTTACAGCCAGCATTCAAACATAGGTTGATCTGCTTCCAAAGTCCATATATTAATTATATTTAATAGATGTTAAATATTTATTTGATCTAGCTCAGAATGACGTGGATCAGGTAGGAAGATAAATTAAACCTGACAGAATAAAAATCAAAGAGAAACAAAGAGGAAAAAATAGAATAAGCTAGCATTTTATACAATAATGAAGAAATTTAGTTCCCTTTTTTAAAAAAAAGGTAAATTAACTGTAACTGTAAACAATAACCAAAAGCATAAATAAGGCACCTAACTGGGAATTTCCTCAATGAACTACAAACAGAAATTAATTATGAGTGGGTGGTAACACGATTAAAACCACCCAAAGTTAAATTAATCTGAGAAACCATATGGCCTCCACAGGAGTTTTGTGAATTAAAACAATATTAAAAACGGAAAGAAGGAAAAGAGGCAGGGAAGGTGGGACATGGAGACAGGGAAGGAACACATTTTTAACACAACCACTCTTTTGTAAAATACATTTCTTTTCTGCACACTACATAACGTGTTATAGAAGCAAGTATGTGATACGAACTTTATCTCATGGAAATAAAAGCAAACAAAAAATGGTGATATATTTAGCAAAGATTATAACATTTCATACATTTTAAAAAGAATTATATTTAAATAATTTCATGTTCATATCTGTCATGACACAAATAATACGACACTTACAGAGGGTACTAAAAAATGTATGCACATTTTAAGGAGGAGACGATATTAAAATTGTAATACTCGAGTCACATCTGACTTCTCCAATTACAAGAGGTGCTCAATGTGACTTCTATTATCTCGTGTTATTGGTAAATATTGTGATATATTGAGCATCACAATTTTTTTTTTTTTGAGACAGAGTCTCGCTCTGTCATCCTGGGTACAGTGCCATGGCATCATAGCTTACAGCAAACTCAAACTATTGAGTTCAAGAGATCCTCTTGCCTCAGTCTTTCTATTTTTAGTAGAGACAAGGTCTCACTCTTGCTGAGGTTGGTCTTGAACTCTGAACTCAAGGGATCTACCTGCCTTGGTCTCCCAGAGAGTATCACAATTTTAATAGTTTTTTTCCTTTCATAAAATGTATTTTTGGCACCCACCGTATATGAAAAATTGTGTGATCAAACATGTAACTAATAAAGCTCATCCTAATTTCTTACTCATTCTATATTAATGCTCAAAGTGCAGTGGCACAGACTTAAGGGCACCAGACTTGGAGTAAAAAGACACATTTTTTTTTTTTTTTAGTTGAATTGGGGCAAGTCAATTATCCTGCTGAAGTTTCTTCATGTCTAAAATAAAGATAAATACTTGGTCCGTCAAGGTAAAGGTGTATCATATAGTGACAATGAGGCATGTTTGAATAAATCTCATCTAGATATATGGTATTCCATTTTCTAATAGTGTAAAGTATCAGAAATCATTTGAAACTATAAAAGTTTTCGATTATTTTTGTTATGTCCTAAATGTGATTTAAGAAGGTAAAAAATCAACATGTATAAGGTTTTATATTACAGTGTATTTTTGAAAAACCATAAAACGCCAAGTAAAATTCATTATACATTGATAAAGACCAAGTTCCAAGGAAAAATACTCCCAATTCATTAATAAGCCCTTTTTTGACTCTGATAGATTCAACCTTGGTAAGAGAAGTTACACATAACAAAATAATTACATGTTAAGTATTAAATATTTTCCATGGTCATACTTTGCCTGAAAAATGTATAAAATACACAAAATTTTTATAATACTGTACAATTAAAAAAATAGAAGCAAACAGTGATTCTGCATAGGTCTGTGTACTCAGTAAGAACTGTTACATGTACAAAGAAATACAAATACTTAATTTCTTGATGATCTTATGAAGACTAATATTTGAGCGTTTTCATTATTTTCTTATCTATCACAAAGACAAAAGTTCTATTTAGTAGCATACTGAAAGAGAACCTTCTAACTTACTTCCTGAACAAATTCCCCTAGTATTCATATTGCAAAGTTCTAAGAGAAGATGGCTCAAAGAAAGACAATGATGGTGCTTTTATAAACAAAAATCACAACATTCGAGGGATTAAAAAAAATACTTTATAGGTGAAGCCTAAGACATTCACCACTTCTTCAAAATTATTGTATATAATTGGTTCCTCACTAGTAGTGATTAGTGATTCCCATGCATAATTCCTATAAAACATATTAAGGAAAAAATAAAATAAAAATTTGGGCATAATACAACTGGAAATACAAAGCAACATTATTAATAGTAACACAATTTGCTTCACTGGAAATAGTGGTGCTTAAGACTTCCAGCACTTGAGAACAAATACAAGAAGTATAAAAAAATTCTTAAGTCTCCACTGCAATTAACATGCAAAAAGCATACAAAAAAGCTAAAAAGCCTACAAAGCACTGATACCTGCAATTTTGAAAACAAAATGATTTGTCTACGGTGGGAATCAGCAAAAACAAACATGTACACAATTATAAATCTTTCATGATCAACAATGCTTTGGTTGAAAGATATCAGAGCACCATATGAATTTCAGTCTATTTCTGTTTAATTCAGTTAACTCACAAGCGAAACACTGCTCTCAGGCAAGAGGTAGAAAAATGAAAAGCCATTCGAGATTATGTTCCAAACAATATAAAAACCAGAAAAAGGAATTTTCAAAGTATGTAGGTTGTTACTACTGTAATATCACGCAAAGCCCACGAAATATCCTCAGAGAAGTACCTTTCAAAACAGGTGGAAGGGAAGTTTAAAAACCTGGTATGTTGTCAATACGTGTTCTTAAGTAAAAAGAGAAAAAAGTCCCAAGCAAAAATGGCAGAAGTCCTAATATTCTTTACTAAATTAATAGACCAACCCCAATAAGGAGAAACAATCAGAAAACCTGAACTTTTAAATAATTATGCCAATGTACAGAGGGAAGAAAAGGAGTGAAGAAGAAAAAAGAAAAAAATTCATAAGTAAAGGGAGACAAAACAACTGACCCAAATTTCAAACACACAATGACGTGCACACACACAATGACGTGTACACATACAGGGTACATGATCATTTTTTAATATTAAGCATGTTTAATATTAAAATATAAAGTATCTCATAAGAGGAAAACCAATATATTATAAGCATATAAAATAAATTCTACCTTATATTTAAGCTTACTCATTATTAAATTCTTCTTAAAATTATTCATTTTTATTTGCTCAACACAAACTAGCACGATCATTCAAAGTATGCTTTGATAAAGGGCGTATCTGATACGTACAAAATTCTCAGGAATCACTGTAAATCGAAAACAAGGTATAAGCAAAATTATTTGAACAAGCAAAATTTCACTAAGGTACATCACTGTAACTAGTGGCTTTCAATTTTAAACAAGAACACACTGAACGCCAGCAACAATCAGCATTTCTGTTATCAGGATGCTGCACCACAGAGCAGGATCATAAAAGTCCTCCATGAAATAAAGCCAGAATACGTCACCTCAATTGTTATCACAGTGATGACCCTCCAGAGGATTGTTACTGCCCCCCAAACAAGAAATGTACAATTCTGTAGCCTATGCTACTCACCTTATCTTTAAAGATATGTGGATTTTGGTATATAAAATCTCGGTAGCTTTCTGTTCGTACTTTGTCCTAGAGTAAAGAGAGGAAAATACTGCGTTTACAGGACAGTCTGAACAAATAAGTATTTTTTGGAAGCTATTTGCTATTTTATCATACGTTGCTAGTTTCCACAGCTACTTTTTTACCTGGAAAACCAAGGTTATTTTTTTTTTCCCTAAAAGAAAACAGTGAAGAATCAAAATAGCAATGACATACAAAGAAAATCTTTAAGAACATCACTGAATGTCAAATATGGTCTACGTTCTCAAAAATATATCCATTTTCCTCTTTATATGCATTACCAGCATAAGACTTCAAGTGATAACTAATTAAAGTGAACAGAAGACAAACGTCATGTTTTCTCCTTTAAATAGGGTGTGGAATCTAGAGCCTGACTCCCTGGTACCTCAAAATAAGAAAAAGAAAAAAATCAGATAAATGTAAAAGTTGCAGTTACATCTAAGAAATGAAGCTAAACTGAGTATTTTCTAAGAAAGCCAATGATCGGCACCATCTGATTTATAATTCTGCTGTTGCTAAAAATTTCTGTACTAGGAAATGATGCTTAAAAACCTGCAAGCCTAAAGTAAATCATTTCAGCCCTGCAGCCCACATTATGAGACGCCTACACACTGGAGGCTCACGTGACCTGTGACCAAGGCAGGAATTCAACTCTAACATTTATGTTGGTTCATGAACAAAGCTGATTCCTTAAGGTGAGACACATACGGACTGCAAATTAAGCAGCGAATGGCTCTGTTGCCAAGTAAGTAAAATATGATTATGATTAAGAAAAGAAATACCACAGAATGAGAATTCTTGTTTTGGAATTCCTAGTAGGTACAAAAGAACCCAGCTACACCAAGTGCTATAATATCCAAATATTATACAAACCATACACCCTAAAACATGTTTATACCAATATTAGGATTTTTTTTAAAGTCTATAAAGGAGATCTTATATTAAAAAGCAAGTCATTTTACTTAATTACTGGACCTCCAAAGGCTAATACCCATAATACCATGTTTTCTGATTATTATTTCTAACTGCTTTACAAAGAAGTTTAAAAATCAGGTGTATTAAATCTTCCCCTGAAAATTATTTGAAGAATTACTAAGAGAGACAAGTAAATTTGGATATTCTAATTTTCAAACTGTCTTTTTGAAAAATCATGCTATTTTGTACACTTTTACCATTTATGCTCCTCTTATGCTACAAGCAGAGATTTTCTGCTGAAACAACAAACCTACAAAGGGTGAACATCCATCAGAAAGGCAGTCACTAGAAAGCTCTCACCCATCACGCTGCCTCACCACTGCTTCACCTTAAATCAACAGGATCCCTACTGATGTCCTAACTCCACGCACTACTGCTCGAGTGAAATACCATTGTTCATTCTGGCTCTTTCAATATATTCATCCGTTTTTGTTCATATGCTACAACCCTGATGTAATGAAATCCCAAGTATACCATACACAGGAGCTTGTGTCTAAGGAGAGCTTCAATTTACTAACTGAATTTTTGAAAGAAAAATCCAGTGAGCATGAAAATGCAAGCAAACAGGAGACCAGCCTTCATAACCGTTTTAAAAAATGTATTCTAACAGAAGGTAACACTTTAATGCCAAACAAGGTAATAAACAGAAATTATCTTTCATACCACCTATTAAAACTAAGAAAACACAAAAATAACAGAATATTTTTAATTCATAGGCTCATGAAAGTGACAGAAAGAATGAGCTGGCTGCAGACATAATCAGGAAAATGCAGTAAAGAAAAATTACTGAAATTTCAATTTATTAAATGGTACTACGATTTGTGACATATGCACAGCAGAGTGAATAATGTTTCTCTTGAAAACAAATAGAGAGTGATTCATTTCAGACACATAATATTAATCAACAAACTGACTCTTCTTTGAAAAGATAAAGTTGTAAGAATCTTGAAGTTTCATGTAATCTATTCCTCTATCAATCATATCTCTGAAATTTAAAAAAGGCATCTTCATCTTATCTCCATAAATAAGATCACAAACTACTTATATTTAAAAGTACAATCAGCCAGGCGCTGTGGCTCATGCCACTCTGGGTAGACTGCCTGAGCTCAAGACCAGCCTGAGCCACAGAAAACCCTGTCTCTAAAACTAGCCAGGTGTTGTGGTAGGTGCCTGTAGTCCCAGCTACTTGGGAGGCTGAGGCAACAGAATCGCTTGAGCCCAAGAGTTTGAGGTTGCTGTGAGCTATGACGCTACAGCACTCTACAAAGGTAACAAAGTAAGACTCTGTCTCAAAATGAAATAAAATAAAATAGAAGTACAATTAAGCTGGGTGTGGTGGCTTGGGCCTATAATCCTAGCACTCGGGGAGGTCAAGACAGAAGATCCCTTGAGGTCAGGAATTTGAGACCAGCTTGAGCAAAGTGAGACCCCTCATTTCTACTAAAAATAGAAAAATTAGCCAGGCGTGGTGGTCAGTGCCTGTAGTCCAAGCTACTTGAGAGCCTGAGGCAGGGGGATTACTTGAGCCCAGAGTTTGAGGTTGCTGCAAGCTACACTGAGGCCATGGGACTCTAGCCTGGGCAACACAGCAAGACAGTCTCAAAAAATAAACAATCAAAACTTAACAAAATAATGTCACTAAAATATATGAAACTAAGCAATAAAATATTTAAATCATACTATGTGAAAGGCAGGACAATTCTAAGCATAAAGGTGCTAAAAATAAAATTTCTCAATTTATTTTAATTTTTATAAAATTTATCAATTTTATTTATAAAAATTAGGCAAGATTCTGACAGTAGCATACCTTAAACAATTTATATGCGCTAAGAATTGTTCTAATAAAAAATAAGAAATAAAGCTCAAGGCACGCTTTCACATTCATCCACAGCACAATACAAAATCAACACATGGTTCTTTTTGAATCAAACATATCTACCTTTCCTATAAATACTTACGTCGTCTCCAAGAGGAAGTAATTATACTGCACAACAACAAAGGGAAACTACAGTGCAGAGAATGATATTAATAAGGACAGTAAATGAATCTCTACAAGGAAAAAGATGGCCCTGGAAACTATGAGCTGGAACTTCCTAAATCTGTATGTAAACCACAAGGAGTTACAGATAGAAGATCACGTATGAAATCCTTTAATTACTGACATACAGCTAAAAAGTGTCCACAACAGAGATGAGTAAATAATGAGCATTCAAACCACATTTCTCTGACGACTGTACAGCAACACTCGTATTTACTGGGAGTTTCAGTAACATTTAGCCTGTCTGAGCAAAGTCCAACACAATTTCTACACCAAGAGTATTAAAAGTTCACACCATTTAAATTGATGGGGTGACTTAAAATGATAAACATGAAATTATATTAACTTCCTTAAGGAAAATATTCCAGACATTAGTTTAACAAAGAAAGTGAAGTCAATTTTTTAAGACAAATTCGCTATGGACTTAAAAATAACTTATTACTTATAAGAAGATATCTTTTATTTATAACACTATCCCATTACCCAAGTGACAATAAAAAGCACAACCAACTATGACATGTTGGTATAATGACATGACACTGCTTTAAAAGATCCCACGTAAGTACAATTATTACCCATCAGCAAACTTCCACTCTGTGATCTTGCTGACTCGACAAAATATACGCATGTTACTAAATATCTCTAGTTAATTTAACTGTGTCTGTTTCAGGGAGACTTACTGTTAGGGGCTCTATAAAATAAATCAATCTTTGGAGAACAGATTTAGGAAGGGATTTTTTTGTTTGTTGGTTTTAAGAAAAGGTAATGGTGGAATCAAAAATTCACAGGGATAAGCATCTAAAATTCTCAATTTTTATATTCCAACATTTATTTTACTTTAGGTGTCTTTAGTGTCACTGAATTAAAAACTGTATTTCGTGTATTTTAACATATGTAGTATAATACTCAATAAAATACAGCATGTATTATTTCCAGGTACAGTTAAAAATTGACTTCTATTTTATATGGACGTTACCATTAGAAAAATTAAATCCAGCCAGATTTAAATATAATCAAAAGTTACTTAATGACAGGGACACTTTCTGAGAAATGTGTCAGGCAATTCTGTCACTGTGTGAACATTATAAAGTATACCTATACAAATCTATATAGTATAGCCCACCATATACCTACACTATATGGTACACCTGTCATTCCTAGCCTACAAACGGGTACAGCATGTCATGGTACTGAATACTGTAAGCAGCTATACCACAATAGTAAATATCTGTGTATCTAAACAAACCCAAACAGAGAAAAGGTACAGTAGAAATATGGTATTACACCATCACATACGCAGTCTACAGGTGACCAAAACATTATGTGGTACATGACTCTACCTAATTTGACCAATTTAGGAAATACTCATATATAGCAATGATTTCAAATGTGAAAAAGTTATGTCGTAACAATTATGAGAATTATCTGTAACTAAACTTTATGCCAAAGAATTATTGTTTGCCCAAACAAAAATCAGTTCTGCTATTTAAACATTGAAATTAAATTTCTTCTGTACACTAAAAGGCAAATGTATAATTAATTTAATCCTTAGTATTTAATATAATAGCTATTCTGAGAAGACTAAGGTTGTCAGCAGTTGATTTTTCTAATAGTCTAATGTTATAATATTAATGATGATCTTGAATAGAATTTACAATGACTTTAATGCCTCTGTAATCTTTTCAACCCGATGTGACCTATCAAGCACCAAAGAGGTTTAGAAGGTAGTTCTACCCCCACTGAAAGCAGTTCTCCTATAGGATACGTATTAAGAAAGAAGCTATTTTATTCTATTTTCCCTTTAGTATGGGTTTAGCATATTTGTGCTCTTTGCTAACCTTTAGCATTTCTTCATGTATCCCATAATGCCCGTATGAGCCGAAATAAACACCATCCTCATCCTCCTGGAGGTCTGCGATGGCACTAGCGGATGACGAGCAGGTTTTGACATCTGCGTTCATCACAAAATCTTGAGCAAATTGTCTGTAATCAATTTGAAATACACCCTTGAGACAGGTTTATTGGACCATGAAAACAGGGAAGGCTAGAGGCTGAGAAAGGAAAAGGGAGGGAGTGGAGTGTGATGAACCTTTTAAATCACATTCAACCTTGGAAAACTCCCTCTGCTGGATCTTAAGCAGTGGCATATTCATACTCAGCTAAGCACTCCTGCAAGCCACAGAAGCAATGCCAAGTGCAGATTACAGTTCTTTATCATGACAAAATAAACACATCACCTTTATTAAACTTTACTATTTCTATTGTTCTAAAATCTTTTTTGGAGCTAAATCAATGTAGTTTATTTCAATTCTATTAACATTTGTTAAAACCATACTATCTTTTGGGAGGGTTAAAAGTAAGAAGCAAATGGACTCAAATTGATTATTTACCTACACCACGACCACCCACTCCTGCTAAAACTCAGCTCCCTCTCTGATCATGACACACTTAGAATTTATAATGTACGTAGAATTCATAATGTACGAAAACAGGAGATGTGCAAAGGGACAGAGAGGACAGTTGGTGTCAGTCCCTAGATTACCTAACATAGCAGTTCAGACAAAGAGAAGAGGAACTAAAATTAGCTCTACTACCTTTCCTCCTGGACATTTTGGCAAACCAGCTAGTTGGTACTCAGGCAAAAGCAATCAGCTTACAAATCTGACAGGTAAATTTCTAAGGTTTACTTGTTAGAAATGCAGAACCTTAGGACCTACCCCAGATCTCCTGAGTCAGAATCTACGTTTTTAACAAGACCTCCAGGTGATTCGTATACACTTCAAACTTTGAGAAGTACTACACAAGAAGAACGCTATTCCAATCTACTCACTGCACTAAAATGTTCTCATGTAGCTGGTTATCTGGTTAAATACTATACCATAATTATATTTTGATTCTTTCAGAATAAAAATTTCTACCCTATATTTTCTCTAAACCTAAAAAAATATTAATCCTTCTGCTTTAAAGACCTAGGAAAATAAAAGTAAAATGGAGAAATCAACTGGAAATAGGAAAATTAAAAGGAAGGCAATATGAAAGAACAGAAACATTCAAGACAACACTACTGGTCAGAAGAATTATCATTAATATTAAAGTAATTATGAAGAAGTTTAATAGGTAAAGCCATAAAATTTATGTCAACCAACTATCTAGAATGTGTAAAAATGCTGTATGTCTTTAATACTACTGAAATGTCTACACTGTGCTTTCCAGTATATGAAATGTTCCACTTCTGTGTTCTACCTCATCATTTGCTATATTATCTTGGGGACCTAAACAATAACTTTTGTAGAAGATTGATAAATTACTTCATTCTCTGAAGATCCTCCCGTGCTCTAGCTAATGCAGCTTCAGCAGACAGCGCCCTGGCTTCTGCATGTTTCAATTTTTCAACAATAGATGTATTTTCACTGAGTCCGTTGGGGTATGAAAATGGAATTGATGCTGGTTCATAAAGATCTTCTACATCTAAAGAAATAAAATGGACATTATCGTTAGGCAATTTTATAACAATAAAGCAAGTCTAACTATATTAGAACTAAATATATCCTAAGTGCCTATTATGTGGCCAATTGAGAAAAATTAGTAAAAGTACTTTTAATTAAATATTTATCAGCCAAACTGTTTCAATTTGAATTGAGAGAACATGGTAGCTTTTCAGCTACTTTTCAACTCCTAGCTTTTCAGTAGTTGGCTACATTGAACACCTATGCAAGTACTAATCATACTGAACCAAACCTGCAAGAAAGAAAAAAGAAGGAAAAAAACTACTTATTGATCAACAGGTATCGTTTCAAGCACATGCATTACATCTCCTGTTATCTTAAAAAAAGAAAAAAAACTAAGATGTAAATACTTATCCCTATGATAGGCCTAGAAAAAAATAAATGAAAAATTAACTGACTAACCTAAAATCACACAGCTACTTATGGAGACGCTAAGATTCAAACCCACACTTGCCTTCCTACCCATGTTCTCACCACTGTACAAAGCTACTTCTCAGCCTCTGTCCTCCTGCAGAACAGCGGGTAGTACAGTTAGATAGTCCTTAAAGAACACGCTGCCATTTTTGACAACGTGGATAAACCTGGAGGACTATTATACTAGTTGAAATAAGCCAGACACAAGACACATACTATGTGATCTCAATTATATGTGGCATCTAAAAAAACTCAGAGTAAAATGGTGGGTGCCAGGGGCTGAAGGTTGCAGGAAATGGGGAGATATTGGTGAAAAGTTAAACTTACACATTTAAAAAGGAGAGGATTAAGAAACAGTAAGATTCACAACTACAATTTGCCAAAGTAGTCTAATTCAAAGTCCTAAACCATATACAGGAAGAAGGATTTCCATATCTACATTCTATCTCAGGATGTTCAAATCACATGGATACTTCATTTAGGCAGATAACTCCTACATAAGGTGGTCAATTTTTCAGGAAAAATATAACAACTACAAATGTGTATTAACCTCATACGAGACCTCCAAAATACATTAAACAATTAAAGGCATTTTTTATTGTTTTTTAAAAAAACAATTAAAAACAATTTTTTAACTACAGATTTAAATATACCCTTCTGAATGACTGAAAACTACATCAAAAGAAAATCCAAAAAGACATTAAAAAAAAACTAAATAAAATTATTCAGCATTTAGAGACTACAGGAGAACGTACATTCTTTTCAAATGCAAATCAATTAAAAACAAGATGTTCAGTAAAAAACCAAATATTTAAAACTTAAACACATTTGGTATCTGCTGGCTTTCTGCACTAAAAAGTTGCCAACTCCTGTGTAGTTTATGTATTTTGAGGGAAAATACTTTAAACTACGCAAGTCTTGTTTGACCTTACATTTTTGCCCACTAATCTGAGCATCAATTGCTGGATCTTTTCTGCAAGTTATTATTGTGGTGTGTGTTTAATAGTGATTTTCTACTTCTCTTTCCTTCTATATTTATTAGTACAAATTCCAGTCTAAAGTTGAACTGCTACTTTTCCATTTTATTTAATTATTAATGTCAGTATGGACACGTGGATATTTTATCCCATGAGCAGAAATCTAATACTATTATTATTTTCTCCATTGCTCAAATCACTCTTCTTGGCTCTCAGAAGCTCCTTTCGGGTGGCTGCTGCGCTCTTTTTTAAGCACTTCCTTACTTTCTGCCGTAAGATGTCTCAGATTCATCTTGTATTTTCCCTGCCCCACTGCTAGAATCAATTCTCTCTCTAATTAGCTTTGGTTCCTTTTATTGGAGAAAGGTGTTTGAAATTAAGATCTGGGCATTAGGTAGGCTCTTTGCTACTGGGGTTTTTCTAGGGCTCAGCAGACAGAGCTAAGAAATAGATGTATATATCCTAACCTACACCAGCATACACATCTATATTTCTGTGCCTTCCTATCAATATATACATATATTTGAGTTTATACTGATACCTCTGATGCCAATCTATAACCACAGGATTCCTTTCCCTCTAATTTCCTTATTTTAAACCTCTTTCCCCAGCAATGAGAAACCTGGTTCTTACTATCCCCAACGTGCTTATTTACAATTCTAGTACATACAACAGTGATGTCAGAATTGCTGACCCACACCCCATGAGAAACACACCTTTACTCACTAGATTATAGCATTCGTGTAGATCTATCTCTGGCCTCACCACAGTATCCAGTCAAGACTCCAATTACTAGTTCACTTCATCCCCACTCCCTTCAGTGTGGTTGTTAATTCATGTGAAATACAGAAAAGTTTGCGTTTGTATTTCATTCTGTGTCATCGCCCTCCTTCCATAGTGCTCCCTCACTGCTTCATCTTGGTTTTATCAGTTGTTGATTTTTTGATATGAAGACTATGAGGAACATTACTATAATCCTAGGAGCAAGAGCTACACAAAGTACTCTTCCTCCTTACCGCGCACGTTACCCCATTCTCACTGCACTCCTCTTTCCTACTGACATTTGTAAGTAACCAATCTCTGTAGTTTCAGATTTATCCCTCCTGTATTTCTTTTGTACAAATGAGCAACACATTCATTTCCTCAAATCCCTTTCTTTCTTATATGAAGAGTAGCATGCTGCAGACATTCCTCTTGGCTTTGCTTTTTTTTTCATTTAACAGTATGTCTTAGACATCACTCTGTATTAGTTCACAGATCTCTCCTTTTTGATGGGTATATACTATACCATGGATATATGGATATATCATACATAGCTCAGTGGACCACTCTCCTAAGTATGATTGTTTCCAATATTCTGAAATTACAACGCTGCAATGAACAACCTTGCATATACGTATTTTCAGAATGTAGGAGGTATTATCTTCAAGATAGATCCTTATGAATGAGACTGCTGTGTTAAAAAGTGCATCTGTAGTTTTGCTACATACTGCCAAGTTTGCATTCTACTAGCAACGCAGGAGAGTGTCAATCTGTCCACGGCCTTACCAAGAGAATGAGCTGTCATTTTGAAAAGTTTTTGCCAGTCTGGCAAGAAAGAAATGGTCCCTCAGTGTTGTTTTAAATCACATACCTCTGAGTGAGCTCAAACATTTTTATGAACACTGATTTTCACATGTTTCTGGACTACTTTTACACCTTTTTTGGGAATTGTCTCATCGTCTGTTTTTTCCCATTGCTCTGTGAAGTGTTTGGTGCTTTCCCCTCAATTTTTAAGAGTTCTTTTAAAAACAATTTTTTTCAGTGTAACAAAGAGAAATTTTATTTAAGACTAAAGAGAAAATTTAGAGCACTTCCAAACAGAGTTGAAGTTGGTCCCTCTCAGGAAGGACAGAGGTGAGAGATGAAGACACAGAGGCCACGCAGAAGTACAAATGCCCTTTCTCTCCACTTCAAACTGGTTCCCAGTCTTTCACTGGCTATTAACTCTTTGTGGAGAATGTTCCAAATATTAGATACACTGTTTTTAAAACTTAACCTAAACTCCATCTTACTCATTCGGATTTCCTTCATTCTTCTCTAACTTCCCTTTTCCATTCAAAGATTCCTCCCAGGATACCAAAATACATTTAGTTCTCATGTCTCCTCTACGCCCTCTGGTCTGTATCAATTTCTTGGGTTTTCCTCAGTTTTCTAAGTTATGAGGAGAACTGGTCAGACAGCGTGTAGAATGGCTCTCAATTTGTAGTTTTCTGATTTTTTTTCATAATTAAACTTGGGTTATTAATTCTTAAAAGACCACAGAGGTAAAGTGCCATTCTTGTCATATTATCACATCACACATCACATCAAGGGTCTAAACTACTCAATGTGACTTATCCCTGATGACATTAACCTTGATTACTTCACTAAGACAGTGTCTGCCAGATTTCTCCACCACAAAGTTACCTTTCCCCTCCCTGCTGTACATTCCGTTCATTACCCATTTTCTCAGTCTTGTTACTAACTTACCTTTCCTGTTACTAAGTTACCTTACTTGTTGCTAACCTACCTTACTTGTTACTAAGTTACCTTTCCCCTCCCTGCTGTACATTCCGTTCATTACCCATTTTCTCAGTCTTGTTATTTAGTCATCTTTATATTCTCAAAGCCAAACACTTAGGAGATACTTGATAAATATTTATTGAAAGTGGAGATGAAATGGTCAGCCATCAAGCCTGGAGCCAGGAGAATGACAATTTTCCCTTCCACCTCTCTCCACCAATGGCCAGTAGCACAGAGCGTTACAGAATGTGGGCAATGCGCTTAAGACCATGTCCAGATCAAGTTCCACTTCCTTTAACAGGTCTCTTTGATTGTTCCAGCTTTTAGTTCTGACTTCTTCATGTAAATTGTGTAGACATTCATTTACTAACCATCAAGTCTCCTTTAATAAGCATTTACCCTGTGGCAGGTACTGTGTTACTACACATTATCTTGGTGCCCTGTCTTGGCAACAATCTTATAAGATGTTGTTATCCCCTTTTTACAAATCAAAAGTAAGACTAAAGGGAATTAAGTTTATATACCTTTTTAGAGTCAAGGGTTCCACAGTGGCCAGCGGAGGAGATCAGTATCTGTCATTGATCTGAGTAACCTTTTCCTCTTCTGAACTGTATCTACCATCTTTTCTACTGTTAATGAAAATTTTCATATTCTACCTTAAATTAAAATACAGGATAAACATTTAAAAGAAAACCACACCCACTATTAGAGTGGAGGCTCTCTATGGAAAGAATTGTGACATTCACTTCTTCATACTCCTAAAGCATTTAACATACTACTGCATCCTGCGAGTGTTTAATAGATGATTTTGAATTTAGGAAGCCATAAAGAACACCTTCTGGGTACTTTGTCATTGATCAAACAGACCACTTCTGTCACTATGAGAAGTGAGATCAAAGAGAAGTTGTAAAATCAAGCTGTAAATCACCAAATTTTAGAGCCAGAAAGAATTTCAGAAATCTGGCCCGAATTCCTCATTTTACAGATGAAAAGACTTAAACTAGGAAGTTTAAGAGCTTCTCTAAGGTAACACAGTTCTCAAATATCACACTAAGGGTCCTACTACAACATCACACTATCACACAACTTAATGAAGGTACTTCTTAAGGAAACAAGTAATAATCAAAGAACTCAAATACACACTCTGTCAAACTATCACCTGTCAGGGTGTGTGTCTATTTAGAATGGTCTTACTGATCTGAAGAGAGCAAATCCTCTATCTCAGCCGAGTGGCATAAGAAGCATGAAATACAGTGTAAGTATGAGAAGAAAGCATAACTCCTATTGATCAGATCTATGAAAAACTGACAAAATTTTCATTAAGACCCTAGTTCAGTAAGGAATAGAGCCAAAGCACAGTGCAAGTAACTAAAGAACAAAGCTACAGCCAAGAAGTGAGAGTGATCCTGCTACAGGAGACAAGGAAGAGTCAGTGTATGAGCGCAAACCCATGGAAATTTGAGGGAAATCTGTTCTGCAACAAAACAAAATCTCAGGAAATTAGATGTCTTAAGAAAAGCCTATCACCTGATCTGAATATATGAGCAAAAAAAGTAGCGAATATTATTAAATCCATTCTGACGTTTTTTAAAAAGATCAATGTCTAACAACTAAAAATTACCATCTTAAGTCAAAACATCCTTTATAAAATGTTCAAAGAAGCTCCTACTTCTAAATTCCTCTCTGGTAATGTCAATGTGACTGTCAGTTTTAAGGGAGTTACCTTTTCTATCAAAATTTTAGTGACTTATCTTTTCTATCAAAACCAACTACTTAGTAAGATCTTTAGAGAATTAAAAAGATAATATATTTTCCAAAAGAAATGGCCCTAAGTTAATAAAAGTAGAGAAAGGGCATTCATCTTACCAAACTGAAGTAAAAGGTCATCTTCTAATACTGGTTTCAAATACTCTTCTTTCTCCCAAGGCACAGGGTTGTATATGGAATTCATATACTCAACTGTAGGATTCTGGATGTAAAATTAATTGCATGTTTTTTCATTGCACAGAGCCAGAAAAATCTCCCTAATAAACACTAGGGAAATTAAACAAAAAGGAAGTCCCCACTAAAAACTAGGGAAATTAAAAAAAATAATAATGAAATCATGTCTGCATTATTCAAAACCAGTATGTTTCTATTTAAGAAGTCTATATAGTGTGCCTCAAAAATATATACACATTTTAATAAAAGAAAAACTATTAAGGGCAGCTCCTGTGGCTCAAGGAGTAGGGCGCCAACCCCACATGCTGGAGGTGGCAGGTTCAAACCTAGCCCTGGCCAAAAACTACAAAAAAAGAAAAACTGTAATTAAATTTTTTAAATTTAATTATTAAATCAAAATTGTAATACTCAAGTCATGTTCAACTTCTGCAATTACGTGAGATATAAGATACAGTATATAACGAATGTTATCTGCACATACTGAGTATTAGAATTTTAATCTTTATACAGTTTTATGCTGGATTTGGAGATATTGAGAATATAAACATTTATTCAAACAGAACTAAAAAAATGTTTGAAAAAATCTTTTAAAAAGCAGTCAGAGTAATTGAAATCACACTAGAACCTGTGTCTGATTTTATAGAAATAGTCTCAGTATTTCTCTTTAATACTGAATTACATTTTCACTTAACACTATTCATCTCTTAGATTCAGTTAAAAATAATACTTTTGGTGTGTTAGGCTGTGCCAGTTTCTAATGTCTGATTCCCCAAAATGCTGAATACCAAATTTAAAACAGTTCATCATATGAGTTCCTCATATTTTTAAATAACCAGTGCACCAATAGTCACAGTGGCATTTATTTCCAAACAAAATTATAAGTAAACTGTCAACTTACCTTAAGTCTAATGAAATTTATTAGCTTAATGTATCCATAAAACTCAAGTCCTAAAAAGAGAAAAAAAAAAATCACCTCTTTTAATATGAGTTTGTTTAATTGACCTGTTCTATAAAGGTTTCTCCAATTAGACACTAAAATAGTTCTGATGTTTCTACTACTACTTATATTTGGATTTTTTATTAAAAATAAGAAATAATATTGATGCTTCTGAATATTCTGAGAAATAGCCATAGATAACAAATTTTCAAGTGTTTCTTGTATTTTCTTTTTATTTTCTAAGACAGGATCTCACTCTAATAGTACAGGGTACAGAGGCCTGGCATTAGCCTAGTTCACAGCAAATTCAAACTCCTGGGTTCAAGAAATCCTCCTGCTTCAGCCTCCTGAGTGGCTAGGACTACAAGCACCTACCATAATGCCTGGCTAATTTTTCTATTTTTAGTAGGGATGAGGTCTCACTCTTGTTCACGGTGGCTTTGAAGTCTTAAGCTCAAGGTATCCTCCCCCCTCAGCCTTTAAGAGCGCTATGATTACACGTATGAGCCATCATACCTGGCCTATTATAGTTCTTAAAAAACGGGAAATTATTAGAATTCTCATTTTTCAGAACAACAATATAATACAATACAATCTGCCAAATAAGGTCCTAGGCTTTACCGATTATTTGGCAGTTGATAATAGAGCTGAAAGTTTCTAAATCTCTAATTTTTATGGTGCCTACCAAATTATAATTTTGCTAGCACATGAGGTACACTAGGTTTTACATGATGTTAAATGATGCTAAATAAAAAACAATGAGGCTTGTTATCTGGTCCTCTTATCTTTCCAGAAATGAAGCAGTATTTACATTAAAGGAAAGCCATAACATATCCAAGCAAATGGTTATTATCTGGTTGTCCATGAGACATGGACATGGACATGTCATGGTTGTCCATGAGAATACTGTTGTATGTTTGAGAGCATACAAAACCCCCACATAGGTAAGTGAAAAAAATGCAAAATTATACCTGAAGTGTTGACTCCAATTCAGTTTAAAAATGCAACATCAGAAACATCAGGGAAAAAAATGAGGCTGTCTTACCAAAGACGGTGCAGTTGAATATGATTTATAAACGTGTTGTATCACAAGTTTCCATGAGACCTAAAAATCTGTCCAGTATTGGCTATTCTTTAACAATGTCCCTTTAGACAATAATGAGTACAGGGATGAGCATAATTCTTATATATCCATTTAAAGGGGAAAACTTTTATTGTAATGTACATTTAAATACAGGTTGTAATAGAAACATATCCTGAATATTCAGTGTATCTTCACTTCATCGCTCTTCCTATACTCTCTACCAAACTTACCAAAATTGAGTTTTATAGTTCCTGAAGTTTATTTTATGCTTGGACCTATTTAAGTTGTCTACCTTTGAATGACCTGCCTCCTTTTCCAAAGTCTACCTCTACCCTTACTCTCCCTAACTCTAATATGACAAAAATGCAATCATAATTCCCTTTAGCGGTAAAGCTAATATAAGCTTAAATACGGTGAATATTACGTAGAAGAGTGACTTATTAATCTTTCCCCAAAGACCACTCGTCAAAAACAGTTCATTTCCATAAGATAAGCTTTTGTTACATGCTTCATTCTACTAGACTTATATCTGAGGGGTGTCTAGAAAATCATAAAATTCAAACTTAAATTTCATAGCTTGGTTCATTCTAAAAATTACTTACCATGTTTATGAACCATGTTATCAATATTGAATTGATGCTCAGACTTACAGTGTGAAAATGTTTCTTCAGCAGATGTGAATAACCTGAAAAAGCAAACAGTAGCTTCATGAATAGTCCCTGAAGAAGTCTAAATATTGATTTCATGTTAAATATACACTTTTGTTTTCACTCTGGTTTCTATTTTATTTCCAATTAAGAAAAGACGCACGCACGTGTGGATGAAAGAAATGGAGCCTAGCACTACTAAAAATTAGTATTTGAGTTCCATTTTACACCTGAAACAAAGTACTATTTGTCAAAACTAATTTATTTGCCAAACAATACAGCACTGATTTTTATCAAAAAGTTATTATGAAAGAATTTCCTTGGGTAAATTGTTTCTCTCAAGTCATAAAAATTCCCTACTTGAGAGTCTTTTCCCCTCTAAGTGTCTCACTTTTAGAGGCTATGAACTGGCACAGCTTATACTGCTTTTAGAAAAAAAAGCATAAAAAGTAATTTTACAAGTGGCATATTTCCAAAGTGCCACATTTCCAAAGTGATCTTGAAGTATTCGCAAAGTATTTGCATTACAGACATGTGAAGATCAAGCCTGTTTATGTGACCTGAGAAACTGAAGGCCACATAAGTCGCTGTACATAGCAGAGATATGACGAGCTGTATATCTCGTCTAAGTTCTTAGCACATTTGCAGCATTAGTTGCATTAGTTTCAACAAATGTTTACTGAGATACGTTATTTGTAGTATTTATGGAGCCTATCACAAGCACTGCCTACCGCGTTCCCCTTTAACTGTAAAGCTAATATAAGCTTAAATACAGTGAATATTATGTAGAAGAATGACTTATTTATCTTTCCTCAAAGACCACTCGTCAAAAAACAGTTCATTTCTGTAAGATAAGATGCTCAATAAATATTATTTTATGATAACTAGAGAATATGCCTTCTACCCACCCAATGAGGCGATCCATCAAAACACAAACATACCGCCAATCAGCACCATGCCCAGACATAGGGAACACTAGAAAATGTTTATGAAATTAACACTGGCCAGTGCCAACCAGGTCTCTTTCATGCCCACCTGCCCAAAGTCAAAGCTGCTTGAGACCAAGAGGCAGAATTTTAAGAAGAAAGAATGGGAATCTGGGAATAGGCCAAACCACAGCTTTGTGACCTTGAGCAAGTTATTGATATGGCTGTCTCTTTTTCCCTAAGTGAAAAAGGTATCAATACCTTCCTCTTCAATAGGTGGGGGCCCCTAATTAAGAGAGGTGAGCTAAGACTTAACTGGAAATTTGAGTTACACGTGAGAAGCTTCGTACCGATCAAACAATAAATTGGTGTATCTGAAAGGGTCTTTAGGGATTATCTAGTTCAGTATGGCTCCCAAACTTGTAACTCACTAGCTAGTGTCTTTATGAAAACAGAAACGTCCTAAACCCATCCCTGATTTATTAGAACTAAGGTTCAGAGTTCAGCATCTGTACATTTTTAAGTGTCTCAGGTGATAAGGGCGCACGACCTGACTTGGAAACCACAGTTTCAATCCAAGACCATTTTCCACACGGGGAAACTGAGGCCCATTAAAGAACAGTAGTACAACCTGGCTTCTGGTTTATGGCTCTTCCCTGTACACCACTGTGAGTCTTCCTTCTCAACAAACCCTCACCCCAAACTAGTGGTTCAAGAATTCAAGGACTGGCCATTCTGGCTCGACTCCTGACCAGTCGCTCCTGCACAGACCACACAGACCCCACGTGGCCCGGGCACCCTGGGGCTGGGGCCAGGCGCTGAGGTGGACGAACCTGTTACAGAACAGGCAGGGGGTCTGCGGCTTGTGGTGGGGAAAATCAGCATCGTCCTCATCCTCCCAGGCGGCCTCGTCACCGCTGTCCGACAGTTCTGGCATGTCCTCATCCTCCACAGCGCCCCGGCCGCCTAACGAACGCACAACAATCAGATGTGCCTCGGTCACCAGTGCAGCGCGGGGCACCAGGGGAAGGGTGGGGCGCCTGCTGCCCCCGCCCCGCTAGGTCGGGGCCCTCACCCCGTTCTTCCTCCATCTGCCCTGCAAGGCCCCACCGCCCGGGCCCGCATCCCGCAGGGCGCCGGGGGGAGTGGAGGATCTTTGACCCGCCCAGGGCAGCGCGGCCTGGGGCTGGGCGGACCCGGTGCGGAGGGACCTGGGTACCCACCGGTAGCGCCCGGCGCTAAGGAGCACATGGCAGCTGTGGCCCGGGAGCCCGGAGCGTCTGGGGGCGGGGACCCGGCAGGCCAGCACGCGCGCGCAGCCGCCACCGCCAAGCCCGCGGGACAGGGACCCCGGGAACGAGCGCCAGCGCGAGCCTGCCCCCGGGCCTGGGATCGGGGAACCTCGCGGGCGCCTGGAAAAGCAAAGGAGCGCGCGTGCTCGCGAGCTCTTCCGGCCTCTGGGCGCTGTGTTGGTCACGTGAGGAGGGTGGGCGGGCCGAGGGCTGGGCCCGCCTCCTCTCTCCGCCGAGCTGACGCAGTGCGTGCTAAATGAGGCTCGCGTAAAGGGCTGGGCGTCGCAACCGGCTGGGGAACTTTGGTTTCTCCCTGGGGCTGCGGGAGGTCTGGGCCAACGTCCTGAGCCCTGAGGCGGTGAGACGCCGCAGTAGCTCTGCTGTCGGCATTGTGTTCTCTGTGCGTCCCTTTGCCCACAGATGAGCAGTCAGTGGCAGGGCGGCCAGCCCGCTCCTGCGGCGCCCTCTGGTGGCGGAGGAGGCCGGCTCTGGTGCCTGGGTCCCGGGGTGCAGCTGAGGGGAGGGAACCGAGGCCATGAGCCAGTGTGTGCGCTGCAGGGACCGGTTTAGGGCCAGACCTCAAAAAAGGATTTTAATCTTTAAAGTGGTTAAAAGAGCGCGTGGACTTAGAGCTGGCATACTGGACTTGAATCCTACTTAGGTGACTTCATAATTCTATGCTCTTGAGCACGTTACCTGACCTTCTGCCTCAGTTTCCTCAATTATGAAACGAGAATAATGACTGCACTAACTTCACGACTACAGAAAGGATAAAATGAGTTAATCCACGTCAAGTGCTAAGACCTAAGTGTTAACTTTATTCTACCAGAGGGGTTCAATCGGCCTATGGGCAGCGTGTTGATTTGGCGAGATTTTTTTTGGCATACCTGTGCTGTTGGATATCGTGAAAAGTATACGCCAAAGGACTTGTTTTTTTTGCTAATAAACTTTAATTAGTGTTTATGTATTTACTGTGTGGCCCGAGACAATTTATGCTTCCAGTGTGTGGCAGAAAAGTAAAAAGGTTGCACAACCCTGGAAGGGAAACAGTTGAACTCTGGTTTCAGCAAGGGAGTGATGCAGTCAGATGTGTTGAGAAGGCAACATCTGGCTGCTGTGTGGGGAAGAATACCAACGTCCCCTGCTTCATGCCACCTTCTTACTTTCCTGATGTCAAACCACAGAATTCTTTCTTAGGTGGGAGTGGACAGCAGTCATATAGTCCAGCGCTGTATGTGGCACCTGTTTATCTAACTGACTGCTGCTGCCTTCCTACCTAATCCTAACTTCCCAATTCAACCTTTCACCTTCTAATCATCAAAAACTCAACAAATGGGTAGCTCTTTTGGTTTCAACCAAAAAAACTTTTGCTGGACCATGTCTAAAATAGGTTCCACCGCTATTCCAGGAACAGCACCCTGTTAGTGTCTTTGGTAGCACCTACCATTTGCTTGCTTGATTTTTTAGTCTTATCCCGGCCGCCACAATACTGCACCATACAGGTAAGTAAGGGTCATGACTCTTTACTATTTAAAAAACAAAGGGCTATCACTATGCTTCTCAGGCACATCTCAAATTCATGAGCTTAAATGATGTTTCTACCTCATCTCTAAAGTTGGGGGAACTATAGACGGCGCCCGCCTTCTTTACATTCGTTTCTCTGGCACAATATGTGGCCCATAGTAGCTACCAGTATATTTACTGAATGAAATTAATGCCTGTATTACTGCTAAGTTCTAATGAATGTACTCCTCTCTCTTAACTGTAAACTTCTAGAGGACAGAACCCATCAAATATTAGTGTTGCAGCATCCTCACATCCTAGGACATTGCCAGGATACCCACTTGCTCCCTTGAGTTAGTCTTGTTCACTGATGTATCCCGTGCCTGGTGCCCAGTAGTGCACAGGAGACACTCAATATGTATCTGCTGAGTGAATTAATGGATTCAAGGCTTTCATTATCTGGCCCATCTAACTTACTCCTGTCATCCATCCAACATAAACTTTCTCTCTGTGTAACAGTGGGAGGGACGCTTGCTGAATCCCTTAGTCCACTCAGTCATCAGTGTTTACAATGAAAGAACTAACCCCAGTCTGGAGGTGTGCTTGGGCCACACTCTTGTCCCCTGAAGTTCATACCTTACTACAATGCAGGGCTTAGGAGAGGGCTGCTTGTCGCCCTCCTCCAAAGATGAATACAGACGCTTCCCCACCATACCACCTCACTACTGAGGCCACTTTAAGGCTGAATAATACCCACTTTAAGGTTTCTGGGAGAGGAAAGAATACAAAAGAGAGTAACTTCAAACTGATGACTAGGTTGGGCTAACTTCAGAGCCCATGGACCTGAGCATATCCTCATGGGGTAAACGCCCCCAACCCAAGGATTCCCTCACTTCTTGGCTCATGCCTTTTACCACTGAAACACCCTTAGGCTCTTCAAAGATCCAAAGAAACCTACCTGGATGAAGGAAGATACTTCCTTCTCCTTCCCTATCGCTCAAATTTCAAGATCCCACCCTGCCCTAAAGTATGCATCTTTTCTGGGTGACTAACACTGGGAATGTCCCCTCCCTTCTAAGGACAGACACCCTCAATTAAATGGCCTTTATCCCCCAGTGTACACTAAAGATTGAAATGTACTTGACATACTGTAGACCTTATAAAACTTGACCGAATCTTTCTAATTACTTCATTTCCCTGGCACTGATGTTAATATAAGTTTCAGCATCCTTTGTTCCACAATGGAAATTAGCACTATGTGCTACCCCTGCTTTAGACCTTACTCCTGCATCTTCCTTTCCTTGCCTTAGATTTTAAGTGCAGCACCATAGGCCTTTAAGGTGTAGTGCCATGGAATTTTACTGGCTATGTGAATATTTTGTGGTTGATCATTATAAGCATCCTACATCAAAGGAAAAACCCAAATATTTCAATTGTATTCACCCACAACATGTACTAACAATTAACTGTCTGGAAATATATAGTACACAGGGTGTGCCTACAGAGTGCTTCAAAAATACAAGTTATGCAAGCAGGCTGCCTGGGTTAGAGTCCTAACTCTGCCATTTCTTAGCTGGAGGTCTTCAGTTTTAGACACTTGGGCAATGCACTTAACCACAGTGAGTCTCAGTTTTCCCACCTAAAATATGAAGATAATGACAAGTATCACTCTGTAAGGGTGGTTTGGAGGGTTAAAGCACAGTTGACATGTAAACATGGGTATTAGCAAACACTTGATATAGCTGCTATTTTATCACCCCAATGGCCAAAATGCTGCATATCACCACTAATAGGTGGGCCTTTTCAAACAATCTAAGAGGCACCTAGGATTTAATTATTGTCATTCCTTTATTTAATTTTCCCCATGAATTATATAAGCTTAGATATAACTTTTATTATATTTTCTAAAGAAGTAGCAAAGGCACAATATTCACTGACACAATAACATGTAGTTAATTAGCACCCAGAGGCGTGAATGTCAACAATTTTAGAACAGAGCTCATTTGCATGATACATAAGGTTTTCACTGCTGCTGTGACTCTGCAGACAAGCAAGTCAAAGCTGGCCTCCCAACTACTGGCATCAGAACCACCAGGGGAAGTTTAAACGAAAGAAAACTACAGATTCCTGTGCCCATACCTCAAAAATTCTGATCCAGAAGGTTTGAGGTAGGGCCTATGAACCTTTATTTTTCAAAAGTTCCCTGGGCAATCTGTACGTATAACCAGGCTCTGAACTCCTGATGCAAGGCACAGTCCTCTGTTGAGAGGATCTGAGTGGCTGAGAAGAGTGAAACAACAAAGTGAAAATATGCTGAATTTTTTTAGATCCTGAAATTACCAATTTAGTGGAGGGTGTTAAAGTTTACAATAATAGCATTTCTCCAGTGTTGTCATGGCTTGAGAGAGGCATCAACTTTCCCCAAGTAATGGATGGCCTTGTTATCCAGAAGTTCCACCTTCTGGTTGCTCACCCTCACGGCATTGTTGAGCATTGCTCTAGCCACAGTCTCCACAGGCACAGAGTGACCACTGGCCCAAGATTCTGGTAAGGAGCCAAAGAACTTTCTAACCAACCATTCACCTGGGCGAGATTCTTGTCTCTCACATAACAGAACCCTAAAGGGAAAAAGAAAAGCAGAGGAAGAGATGGTGAACTGCATTCAAACCATAGCAGGCATCACTGAATGAATCATGTCCCCTCAAAATTCATATGGGGAAGCCCTAACCCCAAGCACCTCTCTCTTTGGAGATAAGGCCTTTATGGTAATAAATAAGGTTAACTGAAGTATTGAGGAAAGGACAGGGCTAACCCAACAGAACTGGTATCGTTATAAAAGGAAGAGACATCCGATATCAGGCTCTCTGTACACACACAGAAGACAGACCATTGAGGGCACAGCAAGAAGGCAGCCATATGCCAGTCAGGAAGATAGGCCTCACCAGACCCCAACCCTGATGGTACCTTGATCTTGGACTTCCAAATTCCAAACTATGAGAAAATACATTTGTTGTTTAAGCCCCCCAGTCTATGATATTTGATCATGGATGGCAGCTTGAATAGACTAACACAGTGGATATAAAGTTTTATTTGGTTCATAAATGTGGGAGTCAGGTTTGTAGTGTAGTTTAGGCCAGGCATTTCTGGAGGGCTTATGGACCAGAGTCCACTTCCTCAACCCCCTCAAGGCTAGCAAAAACCTGATGGTCTGTACAGGATCTCTGGCACCTGACAGGCTCAGGGCTAGGATTCTAGGGGTCTTGTTGACCACTTTCCAAGATCCTGTGCCCCCCTTTTTACTAGGCTGAAGATAGCCCTATTGTTACCTGGTGGCAGAGAAGAGAATGCCTTGTAACCAAAGATTACTATCGCCTGAGTCCTGTCCAGGCATAGATGGAAATCACTGAAGCAAGTTAGAAAAGTTTATCCCCAATCTGTAAAATTTATGTTGTAATCACATGGTGTGCCTACATGATTTTCCCTTCATTTCTTTTTTGCGATTGTTAATGATCACTTGAGGCACCTTGCTTTGACTAACTCAAATTAAGTTTATGCATTATATTGTCAACTTGATTTATGATTTGTGATTGGATAAAGAGACCTGTGGGAGAATGGCCTAGTGCTGCACTTGCTGGCTGCACTTGAGATGCTGCTGGCTTAGCACACACCTCTCACAGGCTCCCATTGGTTATTTCATCTGAGATCACTGAGTCTGAGTTTTTCCTCATGTCAACTGCCCTCAGTGCAAATCTCTGCAAAGGCTGTGGGGACCCAGGAACCTCCCCCCCCAAGACAATTTAAAAAAAGAAGACAACAAATACTACCCAGGAAGTTTGAGGCTATTCTGAAGCTGGCACCACCATCTACCCTTTCTTTCTAAGTCAGAAGGTGTGTGCATCAGAGAAGCAATCCACCTCCAGCCAACCTCTATTATACCTTAGATATCTTAGCTGTCAGCTTCTCCAAATGAAAAATTAGTTTAGGCATTGCCAACAGTGGTATACTCTCAGGTAGCATGAGTACAATACTTACCCAGGCCTAAATACTGAGTAACGGTCAAATTTTAATTCTTCAACCCTGGCTTCCACTTCTCCCTGTTAAGGAAAAAAAAACAAAACAAAACACATTTTCATTATTTAATCAAGACTAACCCACTTACATAAAGCTTAAGAGAAAATAATTTGGAGTTTTGAAGATAATCTGCTTTTGCAGGTCTCAATACTCATTAATACCCTTGTCCAGAATTTTAGATTCCATAGAGTGTGGGAAGTTCAGGAAGGGATCATATAATCCTGATATGTAGTACAGAATTAAAAACGATCCATGGAATAAGTGAATGGCTATATGGTCAGTTCTCTTATTTTATTGATATTAAAACATATCCAGAGTGGGTAAAGGATACATCAGTCCAACCATAAAAGAATATCCTCCCTTTAGTGCAGAATTAGGGTTAGACCTAAAAGGGCAGACCTTAACCTTTATTTCTGGTTTACAATTATTCTAGTGGGTCAGAAAACCCACAGTCCTACTATCTTACTTACTTCTTAGCAAACCCCACAAAACTTCTAGACTGAGACTTAAGTTTGTTAAAATAAAACATGAATTTTCATGCCAGACATCTCTGTAAACAAATGCCAGAAGAACACAAGTCAGAGGCACCTCCCGAAACCTTGTGAACTAATGGTCACACACATGTGTTCCTCCTTCCCCTTCATCTGTACTTTGGCATTTAACTTGTCACATCATAGAATCTCAGATAGTATTTTTTTTTTGCAGATTTTGGCCAGGGCCAGGTTTGAACCTACCACCTCCAGTATACGGGGCCAATGCCCTAATCCTTTGAACCACAGGTGCCACCCTCAGATAGCTATTTTTAAACATTTTGTTCTTTCTAATTGGTAGTTCATAGTACATACACAGAGTTATGCAACTTTCACCATAATCCAAGTTTTAAATATTTCATCACCCTGAAAAGAAATCCTATAACATTAGCAGTCACTCTCTACCCCCTCCTCCCTGGGCCCTCGTCAACCACTAGTCTCTTTCTGTCTCTATAGATTTGCCTATCTTATACAATTCTTACAAAGGACATTGTACAATTTGTGCCCTGTGGTCTTTTGTGACTGGCCCCTCTCACTTAGAATAATGTTTTCAAGATTCACCCCTGTTGTTCCTTTTTTAACTGAATAAACTCCATTGTATGGATACACCTACCATACTTTATTCATCCATTCGTCAGGTGATGGATATCTGAGTTGTTTCCACTATGGCTATTATAAATAATGCTGCTATAATGTTTATACACAAATATGAACATACACTTCTTAGCTTTTTACAAAAATGTGTTTTTTCCTCTTTAGCAATGTGCATAAAAGAGCTAACATAGCAGGCTGAAACTGCTATCCTTAGAAGGGCCTGTTTGCAAGGGTGGCCCCTGGCTTGTGCCTGGGAGCTTGGATTTTGGGAGTATTACTGCCTTTCTCTAACAGATAAGGGTAGTTTACTTACTGTGCCTAAACTATTTGTACAAACACTGTGGTTTATAATGAACAATGGCTTTGCTTTTGGAGGTCTACAGGTTTTGCTAAGTTGAGGGTACCTAAGTGACTGATTCCCATAAAAATCCTGGACTCCTGGGTTCAGGTGAGTTTCTCTCCCAGGCAGCATTCGTTCCTGGAGAAATAAAGCCAAGTGCACTGAGAGAGGCCTCTTGGAACTCTGTACCTAGTTTTCTCCAATTGTTACTCCATGCGCCTTTTCCCTTTGCTGATTTTCCTTTGTGTCCTTTCATTGCCATACATCATAGCTGTGCGTATGTCTATATGCTGGGTCCTGTGAAACCTTCTAGTGAATTAGCAAACTTGGGGGTGTCCCTGGGGATCCCCCAACACCAGCAGACTAGAAGTTCCTTGAGGTCAAGGACCACACCGCATATAAAATATCACAGACTCTGGAAAGTACTTTCCCCTGGACAGATGAGAAAACTGGGAAGACAGACATGAGGCCCGGCCAGTGCTCCGGGCTCCTCTCCCACTCCTCCCACGGCACCACCAGTGCTCAGAAAAGAATGTGACTGACCCAGGCCTCAGACCTGGCCCACAGTTAATGCAGTTTGACATTCATGGAGTAGAATAAACGTGCCTTAAGAATAATTTCTAAAGCCTTGATGCCCGTAGCACAGTGGATATGGTGCCAGCCACATGCACCAAGGGTGGTGGGTTCAAACTGGGCCCAGGCCTGCTAAACAATGACAACTGCAACAAAAAAAATAGCCGGGCTTTGTGGCGGGTGCCTATAGTCCCAGCTACTTGGGAGGCTGAGGCCAGAGAATCGCTTAAGCCCAAGAGTTTGAGGTTTGAGCTGTGATGCCATGGCACACATACCAAGGGCGACATAGTGAGATTCTGTCACAGAAAAGAAAAAAAAATTCTAAAATTGGGTAAGATCATCTTTCACTCTGGGATGGACCATGTGGTTGTCATTTCGGTCTTTTTAATAAATTCATAATCACATGCTGCAAGTAATACAGGTCAACTCAGTAAATGCAGAGGTCTCTTTCCATTTTATCAGCCTTACCAGTGTTTGCTGAGGCTCTATCATGGCCCAGGAGCTGTGCCAGGTCCTTCACATATATCAGTGACAAAGGTTATTCATTACACAATGGCTTCAGCACAGACCCTGGAATTAGAGTGCTCAATTCAAGTCTCAGTCCAGCCCCTGGTGATCTTACTATCACGATACCCTAGTTCCCACAAATGCACATAAAAGCCCTCAGAACACTGCCTGGCTCAACTAATGTTAGCTATTATTTTTTTCAATCTGGATGATTTAACCCAGTGAGTTGTTGTTATAACCCAGTGAGTAGGCAGTAGTGCCTTTATCTTTAAAGATAAGGAAACACTGTACATGCATTTTCTTTCCTAAAAGTTGTTTAATTTTGCCAATAAGAGCAAAAGTCCTATTTGGTCCTTTCCCAGAACTCACATGTTGTAAATATTTTGAAAAACAAAAGACTTTTTTCCTTTTAAGAATTGTTCTACCCTGGGTAGAGTGCCATGGCGTCATAGTTCGCAGTAACATCAAGCTCTTGGGCTTAAGTAATCCTCTCCCCTCAGCCTCCCAAGTAGCTGGTACTATAGGCGCCCACCACAGCACCTGGCTATTTTTTTCTTTTTTTAGTAGAGATAGGGGTCTTGCTCTTGCTCAGACTGGTCTCAAACTCCTGAGCTTAAGCAATCCATCCACCTCAGCCTCCCCCAGTGCTAAGATTACAGGCATAAGCCGCCAGGTCTGGCCTCTTCCATTCTTGATTTAACTTCATTGGTGGCTTACTGAACTTCACCTGGCTCAAAATACTATTTAAAGATAGATTGAGAGATGGTTCAGTTATAAGCCAGGTGAAAAAGATCTGGAAATTTTCATTATCACCAGCTGATTATGAGCAAATGAATGATAAAGATGTCTCGTAAAATTTACATCTCATTTTAAAAAATAACATAGTGCCCAGAGTGTGAAAAGTTCAGTATCACATCAATGTAAAGTCACCCTTAGCAAAGAGACCAGGGTGAGGAAGGGGCTAGAAGCAGAAACCAATACAGAATGGTAAAAGAATACTACATTTATGTAACAATAAATTTCACCCCAAGGTGAGAACTTCTGACCAAAAGAAGAAAGAGTTGGCTAATGAGATGGTAAATTCCCTAGTGAATATATGAATATATTTAAGCAAAAGCCAGATGAACTTCTCTAAAAGGATTTTACATTGAAAAAGTCTTTGGCTGAATGACCTCAAAGTCCCAGCTTCCCAAATTGGGTGCATCTCGGAGGCACAGAGAAAAAGCTGTGGCCTTCTACAGTGTCAAATTAACTTGAAGGTAAGTACATAGAAACTTTTTATTAAAACAAATAAGGATATACATAGTACTGAGTATAGCAAAATGTGCATAAATTATTCAAACATAAGACACAAGGAAGTTGAGGTTGTAACTAGCAGACGACTTCACACTAGATGTCCCCTAATATCCAGAGAAATACAAGCTCCTTCCTCTCTGACATTAGGGAAACTGAGAGAAAAGTTTGAGAATCACTGCCTGTGAGTCTTTTCGGATGCTAAGCTGCCACGCTGACCATTCAAACCCAGAGCTGCTCCATCTCAGTCCACTGATTACAAGACAATTAATAACGGGACATTGGCAATTATCTTTCAAATCACTTCTGTTTACTAAATATATATAGTCTTGCAAAAGCAGTTGCTGTGGCTACAAAACCAAGCATAAGATGTATTTAATACCTTTTCATATTACGAGTATTTTGCATTATTTAGTACTACCATTGGACAGGGTTTTTCAAAGTATATGAATGAAAGAAACATGCACAAACCTTAACTTGTAGATATAAAAAATTGCTCGACTTATCAGCTCCTTTGGAGGACAGCAAGTTGAAATGTTTACACCCTCCAGCTTTGGCCAGCTCTGCAGACTTCAGCACATAATCTCGGTCAACACGAACAAATCCCTCCTGTGGGGGAAAAGGATGTAAGTTATTTCTAAAAAGCTGCAAGTTTATCTTAAAGACCACTACTTGGCTTGAGTAGAAGGCTAGGAAGCCTAAGGGAACGGGAATCTAAATAGAATGCATCCAAGCAATACATGAAAGTCAGGGTCAGACCCTGGGAAAGGCTCCAAATATTGTCCTTAGGACAGATATACCTGCATTAGCAGCAAGGCCAGGCTGCAGTGAAAAACCGAGGAAGATGACATTGAAGGACAGACACCGAACAAACCCACAAGGAACAAAGGGAACGATAAGATAGAACTGGGAAACTAGTTTCAGTCACACCACATTTGTCTTTTTTTTTTCTTTTTGAGACAGAATTTCACTTTGTCACCTGAGTAGAGTGCAGTGGTGTCACAGCTCACAGCAACCTCAAACTCCTGGGCTCAAGCAAACAGCTTGCCTCAGACTCCCAAGTAGCCAGGACTACAGTTGCCCAACAGAAGACCCAGCTATTTTTTAGAGACGGGGTCTCACTCTTGCTCAGGCTGGTCTTAAACACATGAGCTCAAGCAATCCACTCACCTCAGCCTCCCAGAGTGCTGGGATTATAGGTGTGAGCCACTTGCCCCACCCTTTCTTTGTCTTTTCATAACTTCACAACCTTCCACCTCTTGTTTACTCTGTTTTTCTGTGCCAACTCTTAACATAGTAGGGTCTCCAGGCATGGTTGAGGACACTCCCCAGACACTGAGAGAGCAAAGTCTAAGGAATGCATCTTCCAATTTGTTTACTGATGGGTATATAATCAAAACTGCAAAGACCCGGTCTAGACTCAGTCCAGTGAGGTCAGTGCTGGGTCTTTCTTCTGAACTCTTATCTCAGCATCAGCACATGCCCAGAACATGGTAGGTGCTCCAGAAATATCTGAATGAATGAGTCAAAGTCCAGGGGAAGAGAGAAAAGGCATAGTCAGTCAAGGAAAAAAACAAAACAGAACTAAGTGGCAACTGCAGTAACCGAATCCAATCAGGGCCTATCGGAAAGACTTGCCCCTTCACTCAGAATAGGTAACTCCCCTGTGAAAGGGTTGTTCAACCCAAAAAGGGGTTGCGACCCACAGGTTGAAAACTGCTGAAATAGAACATTACCATTACCCTAAAAACTTCCTGCATCCTCCTCCTCATCACACACAAGTCCATTTTTTTTTTTTTTTTTTT